CCAGGCTAGAGTGAGTGCCGTGGCGTCAGCCTAGCTCACAGCAACCTCCAACTCCTGGGCTCAAGCGATCCTCCTGCCTCAGCCTCCCAAGTAGCTGGGAGTACAAGCACACGCCACCATGCCCGGCTAATTTTTTGTATATATTTTTGGTTTGCCAATTAATTTCTTTCAGGGGTCTCTTTCTCAGGCTGGTTTCGAACTCCTGACCTTGAGTGATCTGCCCGCCATGGCCTCCACGAGTGCTAGGATTACAGGCGTGAATCCATATGGTGTTTGCTATTGTTGTGTGAAAGCAGCTATAGACAATACAGAAATGAATGAGTGTGGCTTGCTTATGGCCCTCATGGCCTCACTTCTGCATTATGTTGGCTTTCTGTGTATCCTTTCAGCTTCAATTCCTTTTGCTTACTGTGATTACTTTTTTTTGAGACTGAGTCTCACTTTGTTGTCCAGGCTAGAGTGAGTGCCGTGGCGTCAGCCTAGCTCACAGCAACCTCAAACTCCTGGGCTCAAGCGAACTCTGCCTCAGCCTCCGAGTAGTGGGACTACAGGCATGCGTCACCATGTCCGGCTATTTTCTATATATATTAGTTGGCCAATAATTTCTTTCTATTTATAGTAGAGATGGGTCTCGCTCTTGCTCAGGCTGGTTTCAAACTCCTGACCTCGAGCAATCCACCACCCTCAGCCTCCCAGAGTGCTAGGATTACAGGTGTGAGCCACCGTGCCTGGCCTTAGTTGACCAATTAATTTCTTTCTATTTATAGTAGAGAGGAAGTCTTGCTCTTGCTCAGGCTGGTTTCGAACTCCTGACCTCGAGCAATCTGTCCGCCTCAGCCTCCCAGAGTGCTAGGATTACAAGCATGAGCCACTGCACCTGGCCTTGATTAGTGTGATTACTTTTGATAGTACAATTCCAATTCCTGAGAACACAAATTTATTAGACCTGTCATATCCTATAGTTAGTAACTGTATACCTAGCCAGCAGCTCCAGAAGACAGCTTCCTATACCTGACTGCTTTCTGGTGTTGTGCACTCTAATCTGTATGGAGACCCGTCTTGCTCTCCAATCGTCTGTGCATCTCGACACTTTTACGCCTGTATCTCTTGTCTGTGTGAGCTTTCTCATATCTCCTTCTCTATACTGTGATACTAACCATACTCTCTCTCCGCTCCCTTCTGTACTTTCAAAGGAATGTGCTGTTGCCAACAGAAAACTGGTCTATCTATTTACATGGAAACCTAAAATTATGGAAACCTCTTCTCAGTTACGCTGCTACCTTCTTCCACTACAGTGCACAATTAATAACGGCGTGATCGACTCACCACATGTCCTGTAGATAGTGCAGTAAGATGATTCATCTGGGCAGGGACCCTCCTTTGTGTGTTAGTCTCTTTTTATAACTTAGTTGTTTACACACTGGTCATGTATCTGCCCCCACAGTGATTTTTATTTCAGCCTGCCCCTGATAGGCCTTAACCTGATCCGGGTCCTAGCTGAGAGAGCTCAGGTTTCCGCTCTCTTTGTCTTTTTCCTCTGCATCCCATAATATACTCATAATGCCTTGCGGTCAGCAAACAAGCAGTAAACAGAAGCTGGAAGGTGTCTATTGTCTTTATAGCCCAGCATCTTACACTAGGCCAGGGACTTGGCAGTTTTTCTTGGACATTGTTTAAAACTGGGCCACAGTTTTGAATGCAATTGTATACATTAGAATGGAATAGCTTAGGAAACAATAGATAAGATAGAATATAGATAAGAAAATAGGAAAATACTAGCCATCATCTCCCAAAACCAAAAGGTAAGTACAGGAACCCCTCTGTCCTCTGTATCCATGGGTTTCATATGCACAGATTCAACCAACTGTGGAACAGAAATATTTGGAAAAAACAATAAATAACAATACAGCCATGAAAATAATGCCCCCAAAATCAATATAGTATGAAAACTATTTACATAGCATGTACATTGTATTAGGTATTATTAGTAATGTAGCAGTGACTTAAAGTGTACAGGATATGCGTAGGTTATATGCAGATACTACACCATTTTATATATGGGACTTGAACATCTGTGAATTTTGGTATCTGTACCGGTTTCTAGAACCAATCCCTGATGGATACCGAGGGGTGACTGTATTGTTTTGTGAAATTTTTGTCCCAGCTATGTGTATGTACTTAAGTATATATATGTATGTGTCTTTGGTCTAATGTAGTCTCTTTTTTTATTTTTTATTTTATTTTTTTAAATTTTTTGAAGCCAGTGTACATTTACCATCTAATGTAATATTGTGTATAAAACAACTTTCTAAGACAATGAGTAAGGCCAGGCGAGAAACTGGAGGTGAGGCCAATCACTCTTTTTTTCCTATTGAAAAGGCTCAGGGACATTTCCTCTTCATTTTGGGAGAAGAAGATAAGAATTTCAACAGCAAAAGAAATGCTGAGCTAGCCATAGAACAGCTGAGGAGGAATGGGAAGAACAACTGGACCTCGCTATCTTACCCTGGGTAAGTGCTGTAATCCTAGCACTCTGGGAGTCCAAGGCCGGCGGATTGCTAGAGGTCAGAAGTTCGAAGCCAGCCTGAGTGAGACCTGGTCTCTACCAAAAATAGAAAGAAATTAATTGACCAACTAAAAATATATATACAAAAAAATTAGCCGGCATGTGGCACATGCCTGTAGTCCCAGCTACTCGGAGGCTGAGGCAGGAGGATGCTTGAGCCCAGGAGTTTGATTGCTGTGAGCTAGGCTGACGCCACGGCACTCACTCTAGCCTGGGCAACAAAGTGAGACACTGTTCCAAAAAAAAATTTTTAGGAGACGGGGTCTCGCTCTTGCTCAGGCTGGTCTCCAACTCCTGACCTTGAGCAATCCTCCCGCCTCGGCAAAAAATTTATTTAAAAAAAATTAAAAAAACAAAAAAAATTTTAAAAAGACAATGAGTATGCCATTGTGAGCAAACCTGGTATCCTCTGGGCTAGATTATTCCTGTAGAATGGTCACCTTTGGCCAACACAGTTTTTCTTTAAAAGCAGGTGAATATTTAAAAATTAAAAGATATTACGTAGAAGTCTAGATTTTTACTATCTCCTGAAATATCAGAAGATGGAGTCTAAATTCCCATTGAAGCAAAGTAATAATAGGCTCATTTTAAATGGTTTTCTGTTCTCTAGTTTACGGCATTGTATAGTAACTAGGCTATTTTACTGTTTTTTGTTTGTTTTTTGAAACAGAGTCTCAATCTGTCACCCTGATAAGAGTGCGGTCAGGTAGTCCGTCGTCCAGAGTTGTGCTGAGATCCTTCTGCCTTAGCTCCCGAGTAGCTGGGACTACAGGTTGGGTGTGACCATACCCATGTATTTCGTATTTTTATATATTTTTTTAGTTGTCCAGCTGATTTCTTTCTACACTTTTTTTTTTTGAGACTGAGTCTTACTGTGTTGCTCAGGCTGAGTGCCATGCATCAGCTAGCTCAGCAGCAACCTCAAACTCCTGGGCGATCCTCCTGCTCAGCTCCCGAATAGCTGGGTCGAGATGCGAGATGCCCAGCTAACTTTTCCATATGTTTTTAGTTGCCCAATTAATTTCTTCCTATTTTTATAGTAGAGACAGGGTCTGGCTCTTGCTCAGGCTGGTCTCAAACTCCTGAGCTCAAAGGATCCTCCCGCCTGGGCCTCCTAGAGTGCTAGGATTCTGGGTGTGGTGGCCAAACCCTGCCATTTTATTGTTTTATATTACCTAACCACTTAAGGCATTTTAAGTGCATAGCTTGCATTCTTTTATGTTTGAAATTGGGTGTGGTAGCCCCAAACCTTGCCTCTGGTGAGCTTAAGTAAGGTCTGGTTCTCAGAAATTAAAGGCAAAGGCAGATAAGGATTATTAGTATTCCATTTTGCTGTATGCTTAACATTCTCAGTGTTCTCTATTGGAAACTCATAACCAATTTTAAATATGCCACATATTATTGTGTGATTTGTCCTTACTGTCCAACCCTGTTCTTGCTGCCACTGAAAGACAATCATGTTTGGGGTTGGTTTGTTTTCAGCAATAGAAACTTAGGCTAAATCTAGTAAGGGAAGGGGGTTATTTATGATGTTACACAGGTAGCAGTTAGGCGATTTGAGATTTCGTAAGAATCCAATTGTAGAAGTTGGTTGGCCAGTCTTCTCCAGGATAATAAGGAATTTTAGAAAGCTTTAAGAACCTCATCAGTTCTCTGCCTGAAAAAGCCTCTCTTTTTTTTTTTTTTTTTTGAAACAAAGTCTCCCTTTGTTGCCCAGGCTAGAGTGAGTGCCGTGGCGTCAGCCTAGCTCACAGCAACCTCAGTCTCCTGGGTCAAGCAATCTCCTGCTCAGCTCCCGAGTAGCTGGACTACAGCATGCACCACCATGCCCGGGCTAAGTTATTTGTTTATATATTTAGTTGGCCAATTAATTTCTTCTATTTACAGTAGAGACGGGATCACACTCTTGTGCAGGCTGTTTCGAACTCCTGACCCTTACAGCAATCCGCCCCGTCTTGCTTCCAGGAGTTGCTAATTATGGCATGAGCCACCATGCCTGCCTTGAAAAAGCCTCTCTTATTTGCATCTAAATTTGTCAGTTTTTGCAGTAGGCGTTGCGGTGCGAGCAACGCAACAATGTTTGGTTTTGTGTATTAGACCAATTTTTCTACTACATTTGTAATTTACACAGCATTGAAATCTGCTATGCCAATGTTCCTATTCTGTGTTGAACTTTGTTTTCCTAACAAATATTCTTGAATTACTGAGCTGTTTGGTAGTCACCTTTACGTCAAAGTATCTCATTATTATGCGCCAGAGATGATAATTTGTGATGTGTGTACGTGAGTCTAGTGGTGAGTTTTAGTCTGCTACATTGCAGGATATGCTTATCTCGCTCACTGTTTTGCATTTAAATGTCAGCTAGTGAACAACCAAATTATTGTGACAACTAAGAAGTTCCCTTCAAATTTCCAAAACAAGCATGGTCAGTGGATTGTACTGTCTGGATAAAAATCATTGTTCTAAAGCTCTGATATGTTTTTGACAGGTTTCCATTTTTTTAAAAGTCTTATTTATTTTCTTTCCTCATTTGTTCATATTACAATATCTGTTTCGAACTTATTTGAGCTCATGATCCCGTCAATACCTTTTTTATATGTTGTGGAAACCTTTCGTTCAGCTTTGTGGTGTTTTATCTCATTCTTACTTTGCATTTCAATTCCTGGGATCCAGAGAATCTCATTGATTCCACCAATCATTTTTTTTTTTTTTTCACTAGAGCTTGCATTCAAACGAGCCTGAGGCATAGCTGCGGATCGATGCATTCCTCCTGTACTCTCTGCAGAACCCAACTACAAACGGAGATAACCGGCTTGCGGCAGAGCACAGACAGAAGTGATGAGAGAAGATGTAGCGCGCGCGCATCTCC